TTATGGAACACTGTAAGGCTCGTGTTTTCTCTGCCGCTTGTACATGTATATTTATGCAATTTATTTTCTGTTCCTAAGATATTTGCAAAGGTATCTCAAAATATTTGTATAACCTTTGATAATTTGCTAAGAAAGTTACTTGAAATCTGTGTTCTGACAAAAATAAAATTTATCCTTGTAATCTTATAATTGGTCTTTTTCTTCAGAGAACAACTAAAATGTGTGTTCTTTTCATAATGTATTTCTCTCTATAATTCATGAAATTCTTTATTCCTGTTTGTTTATACTGTTTACTTTTTAGTCAATTCGTTTTCAGATATTTTCTTGAAGAACTGCATATCCTCACTGATTATTCCTGTGCTAGAGAGAGAGGCAGGGGCCATAACAGAAATAGTATCAGCAGCTGTAACATTTGATTCACTTTTACCAAGACTTTGGTTGCTATTATTAGCCTTTTCTCTCTTTCTATCACTCCCCTTATATTCCTCTCTTTTCATTTCCGACTCTTTCTTTCCTCTCCCTATCCTTCCTTCCTTCTTTTCCTCTCTTCTTTTTAATTTTTTTCCCTTCCTTCACTTTACTCCCCTTTTTTAATTTCTTTCCTTCCTCTCCTTTCATCTCCTTTATCTTAATTTCAACTCTGGCAGCTCGACACAACCCCCCACCCTCCCGATGTATGAAATACATTTTTGCCACAAACAATGCACCGGTTCTCTCTCTATGTAAAAAAAAAAAAAAAAAAAAAAAAAAAAAAACTTCTTCCTGCATTTAGTTTCTCTTTTAGCAGGAAGGTAAGTGACAATTCTTCTTTTATTCAGTCAAACTACATTTTCTCTTTGTCTTAAATTTTCTTAACACTTTGAACCAATACGTTCAGCATACCAGCCACTGTGTGAAAGTGCATATAACGTACTCATCAGAGGGTCAGGGTTCAAAAGGTTAAAATAATCTCAAATATTTGAATAATTTCCCCTTATATCTTTCGTTTTTTTTTTGTTTTTTTTAAGATACCAAATTTAAATAAAGCTCACAAGAGTATTTGTGGCAATATTGATGTCATTAAGACACTAACATTGAAGATAACTTTAATTCAATATTTTGAATTTTTTTTCTATAACAGTTTTATGTAGCAAGGTTGTTGATAACAACTTTTCCTTAGAGATTTTTTTAAAGTTGTCAAATGAACAAAAATATTAAAATTTTCAACATCCAACTGATTTTCACGTATCCCATCTTTACAGACTTTTCTTACATCAGTCATTTATCACTATAATAATAATAGCAATATTTGTTGTATGTGAAATTTATAATTAACTTACATTTTTTGAGTAGGTAGGTAAACAGTGATGAGCAATGTTTAACAACTTATGCTTACAAAAAAACCTCTCAAAAGAATGGTCATTCCCACGACACTGCTATTACTGTATACACTTTTGACTCCCTCAGCAATGTTTGTTTTCTGAAAGCATTGATTAGAATTTTAATAAAATCCCAAAGAAATAAATATTAAAATTTTTTTCATAAATCTATAAAAATGTTTGTGAAGAAAATGAAGTAAACATGACTTCTAACTGTAGTTATACATTTTGAAACAATGTATTTTCCAAGCATTTCTTTCATTTGCTCTCTCCACATAAAGTCAATAAAAATAGATTAAAAGTATCTCTTCCTCTTCCATATTTTGATAATTTTTTTTATAAATTTTGGAATAAAAAGATTTCTTTTCAAATTTATTTCTTTATAAAAGGTAAATAATAAATATTGCATTCTACTTGGTTTGCATATTTTTTATAAACTTGTAAATAAACATTGCTGAGGGAGTCAGAAGTGTATACAGTAATGGTGGTGTCAAGGGAATAAGTGTCCTTTTGACACAATGTTTTTTTGCAGGCAATTTGTGCAAAAAAATATTAACAAATTCAAAAGGAAAATTGACTTTTCATCTCCAGATTCTGCAGATAGGATAATGGTAATTAACTGTTTCCTTATAAGGAAACTTTTGACAATTCATTGAATGAACATCCAGTGTTACTCTAGTCCCACTTTTCTTTATTCTTTGGCTATCAGGCTTGGATCAAAATGTAATATCTGTTCTCTTCATCTCTAATGGTAATATTAACTGTTTCCTTATAAGGAAACATGTCATTCATTGACTGAGCAGTCAGTTGAAATATATAAAATCTTTCAATTAAAACAATTTTTCAAGAAAGCAGGTCCAGTAACATTTTTTATAAATTAATGTTTACCCAGTGCAAGGCCCAAGAGCCACTCAAGTCAGAGGGTTACTATGTGGTGTTGTATGAGCATAAGAAAGGGTAAAAAAGTGAGGTTGATAGGGTTATGCAGGAAAGATAATGGTTAACCCTAGACTTGAAGAGGCCAAGATTGTAGTGATTGGGAAAACAACGTGCTGTGAGTCTCTGCACAAACCACCAGTTCTTGAGAAGAAGCTGGCTGAATAGAACTTCCTCCATACAAATGGAATATGAAGGGAATAAGGATGATTCACCTTTGTGCACATGGCATAGCGGGTCCCAGTTGTAAAGGTTAGGGCTGGTGAGACTAAGAATTGTAGCTCATCAGAACACATGCCATGGAAATAGCGATAGAGAAAGTGAGAGGTTTGTAATATTTTGTCAGTGGGAAAGGGGTTGTAAGGTGCAAAATAATCCCACAAGGCTATGATAGACGCTATTGAACTCAATAAAGTCAAGCAAGTGATTACTGGACATCTCCAGCCTGTCTATAACAGCAATACAGCATTTTCGGTCTAATCTGAGAAGTCAAATACTTACTGGAGCAGTACAATGAAGCAACCATTTTTCCAGCCTCTTTAGTAATAGATTGGATATATGAGTTCTACTTGAAGTCTGAAGTGAGCTTAAGTCCCAATAGATATTCAAGAAGGAGTCTCCTTGAGAGAAAACCCATTCATAATGATAGGGGAAATTTCAAGGTCTGCTTGGTGGGGGTGGAACGTTACTGGTTTGGCTTTGGCCGTTTTGGATTTTACAAACCAGTACCTAAGCCAACTGAACTTAGGCTCTGAAATTGCACTTTTGAATATTAAATTTTTATCCTTGATAACAAAGTCTTGGTGGAGGTTATATAGACCTTATCCTTATAAGGAAACGCTGGGCATTCATTGACCGAGTAGCCATTACTATTTGAGTTATGCTTTTCTTCAATCTATGGCCATCAGGCTGGGATCAAAGTGTAGTATCTGTTCTAATCTCTTACGATAAGAGATCAGTGAGAAGATTGTTTGTCCAGCATTCGTTGCCATACAGAAGGAGAGATATTATGTAACAGTTCAGTACTCTTTTCTTTGTTACTAACAAAATATTTCTGTCTCTTAGTACTCTGCTTAGCTTTTGGAAGGCATCTTTGGCCATTCCAATACGTCTTTGGATTTCAGTGTCGCACTTTCGTATTGCCGTATATTTTGCCATTATGTTTTCATTAAGACATGTCTTATTAAATAATTCAGACAAAAAATTGTTGAACCTATCGATATTAAAAAATGGAAACCAACCCTTAATAAAATTGTTAATACTGCACAAATGTTTTAAAATGTTTACAGTAGCTAGTTTAAAATATCTCGGTTTTAACTAATAAAAGAAGAAACAGGATGTTAAGATTATGAGGATATGAAAGCTAGATATCGATTGACCCTCGAAGGGGGTTAAGATTTGTAGCGCTCGGGGAAGTATTCATGTGGAAATCTGAGAAGCTAAGAATTTCTAACAATTTCTTTTCTCGTACTTCTCATTTGTGAAACTCACTTCCGGTTTCTTGCTTCCCAGTCAACATTGATCCTCAAAAATTTAAATGCAATGTCAATCGTTATCGTCTGTCTTCTTAATTATTGTTCTTTTATTGTTCTCTCTCTTTAATCGTGTTTTTTCCCCTCATATTCTCTAGCACCCGGTAACCCCTTTTGACTTAGTGGCTTCATTGTCTTTGTTGGGGGTGAAGTGATTAAGATAGATCCTAGTGGAATGAGAGTGATTCACTCGCGTGGATGTAGCAAAGCAGGTCTTGGTTGTAAAGGTTTGAGCTGCTGACATTAAAGAATTCTTCTGAACATTTAACGTAGGTGGATCGATTTTGATCGATGTCAAGACAGGAAAGACAGAATTGGGTAGCTCCAGCCCAGATATGGCAACAGTAAGACTCCATTTTTGGTCTGTTGTGACTCTTTTAAAGATACTGTATGTCAGAAGGAACCAGGGACTTTTTAGACTAGTATAATGGACCGACCGATCATTTTTTTCAGACTAAGCCAATTAATTGTATATTAGGTCTGTACAAATTATTTAGTTTTAAATTTTCAACTTACACTCCCTTGTTTTTTTGGCGGAAGGAAGAAAAAAAGAAAGTTTATGAGAAATGAAATATTTCAGAGATAGACATTTGCAAGCTACAATGAAATCGGTTTGCCTTTCAAAAGAACTCTAGCGAAAAATATCTGTGTTGTGTTTCTTGGATTTCATTTCACTTCCCAAGAGGGGATAAGATGGAGACAATGAGACAAAAAATAAACGACATTGAGAAAGACACACGCATAGACATTATTGGGAGTTGTCCATAGCTGGGGAGGGTCAGGTTCAATTTGGTATTTTACTCGTTTAGTCAGTGTAAATGGAGATCTGTAAAGGGAAATTTATACTTAATATCAGGAAGGGACAGTTGAAGTTTCTGGGGCAGGTAATGAGGAAGGAGGGTTTGGAAAATTTGACACTCACTGGACAGATTGAAGGAAAGAGGGACAAAGGAAGGCAGCGCGTAACATACTTGCTGGGCTTGAGTAAATGGTCGGTAGAACAGGGTTTGAGAAAAATAACAAAAAAGCAAACAAAACGTACCTAAAAAGAGCTGTAAGAGACAGGAAGATGTGGAGGCTCATGATCGCCTACATCCTGAAGGGACACGGAACATAAAAAAGAAGAAAGTTCTTTTGTTTTTCGTTTCAGCTGCATGTAAGATGATGGAAGACTTCCGGTCATATTACGTTGAAACACCGGTTCCCATACAACCACCGAAGTTAAGCAACATCAAGCCCGGTCAGTACCTAGATGGGTGACTGCTTGGGAATACCGGCACTGTAAGATTGTATGTGTCTTGGAATTGTTAATCGGAGAGCGGAGTTCCAATTCCCGTTGGGTTCGTTATATTCACTTACGCGCAAATCCCCTTGGAAAAGGCATGAATCCACTTCTTCTCATCCCCAGATATGGATTAATTACTAAATCATTATTATCTAAAATTATTTTTTGGCTTTAAATAATCTGCAAAGAATTGATAAACCGTAGAAAATGGATAAATCAGTCAATCAATAAGATTATGAAAGCACCCTCTAAATTTCGTTGTCAGAGAGTCAAGTAAACATTTGTTTCTTGGGGTTTAATTTTATTCTATCATTACTGAGAGAGAGAGAGAGAGAGAGAGAGAGAGAGAGAGAGAGGGAGGGGGGAGGACCGTGTTCATATATTACTTTATCTCCCTCCGAAGAAAGAGCAGATTTCAATATGCAACAGCGATCTCCATCACTCTTCTCACTTGATAACAAGAGCTAAGGATCTAGACTGACATCAAAGTAAGTGCTTCTGCTTTACAGATAATGAAGGCAAAGCCTAAAGTACTTAATTTACTGCATTCCACTGACCTATTAAGAGGCTATGGGGAATTATGAAAAGTTGTTTTATTTTCTGTGTTTAAATTGTAAAACCCAAAACCATATACATATTAAATTTGATTATTAACTTTTTCTTAAAGTCTCTATTGACAACTAGAAACATTGAATGCCAACAAAAAATTATGTAACACTGCTTAATTCTAAATTTTGATGATTTTTTGTTTTGACTAGATCTTCCTCCATTCGGATGGCTTGTAAAAACGTTTTAGCATTCGTAAGTGGTCATTTCTTTTTTTCTTTCTTTCATGAAAGCAGACATTTTTCTCCAAATGTGAACACCATTTTGGATGGTGATTGACCTGAAAGAATTCCTATACAAAACTTGTAGATTGAAAGAACAAATTATCAAATTAAATCTTAATGGATGGATGCCGTGAAAGTAACACAAAAAAAAAAAAAAAAAAAACAAAAAAAAAAAACACGTTTGGTGGTCTCATTATTTGATTAACTAACAGAAAGCGCAGATAAATATGCAAGAGTTTGACTGAAATTTGTTCAAAACAGGACAAAGTAGAAGAAATTAGTTAATACAGTAATCACAGTAAAACGGGGATAATTATGGGAAAACTTTTTGTTGATTATTTTTAGCTTGATTCGAAATATGTAATATCGATGTTTTTATTGTGCAAAAACAGTACAGAATTGGATTAAAACTTGTTTAAACAAGTACTGCGTTCATCGCTTAAGGCAAAGTTTTTAAACATGCCAACATCAGAAACGGATGCTTTCACTCTTGGCAACGACCATCCCCTGACATCTTTGTCTAATACCTAACACCAGTCAGGAGATATTGTTTTGTGGTACGGCGTTCACTCACGGCAACATGCAGATATTATAAGAAATTTAAGCTGCTTGAGCGTGTATCGTCTGCTTTTCTGAGAGAAAACAGATGCAGTGTTGGACTCTTGTTTAAACTTTTGAATTAAAAAAATATTTTTAGTATGTTTCGATTTGTGGGAAAATTGCTGCGTTTGTTTTTCATTCGGAACCAATCAAAAGGCTTCCTTCCAAGTTCCAAGAAGTAAATTTGACGCCTCCCTCAACGAATAAATAGAGGACCTTGGATTGAATTCGAGGAGTCGACGAACAGCTGCTGCATGAACTCAGGTCGACCCCGTCAAAGAAAAAAAACAACACAGAAGAAATTTGACGATCATCAGGCAAGAATTGAAAGGAATATCAAAGCCGCTCGCATATCAAAGAAAATTCTTCGGCTGGTGGGATTGCTCTGTTCTTCACTTTTACTACGAACTTTGCTTCGAAAATTGTACCTATTCTTTGAAAACTATTCATTTTTTCTCCTTTCTTCATTATATTTTTATGTTGTTTACTTTTCTGAGGACAATTATGCAGCATTGTAATAATTATTGTAATAGAGGCATATTTCTTTTGCATTATTTTTATATACATGTTATTGGCCATCTTTTAACATACAAAGCAGTTAATTTGTGTAATTCGTCAGTTTTTGTAAACTCGATTAGTATCGTCTGTCTTTATTGTAACCCCTTATAAAGTAAATGTTACTTCAAACGCTTGTTTCAACTATTTTTTCGTTGGCATTTTACCAAATAAAAGTTCTTTAATAGCAGAAGTCATATTGCGCGAGATTTCGTGCATAAATACATCGTTTCAACAAGTGTTTCATTGGATTGAGTTCCGGTGACGTAGCTGAACATATCATGAAACTCTAACCTCTTAAACTAGGGCCTTTTTCAAAGAGAGACAGATTTGATGAGGTGAATATGCATGAAGGCTAACCATTTTGCTTGGCATTCTTTGAACCATTAAAATTAAATGGAAATATTATGAAAAATTATGAAAATTTTATTGCAAATGGCATATTTTCAATTCTTCACATGGATGACAAATAAATTTAAACTGGTCTTACCAAAATCCCTCAACCTGTCATATCTGAAGCCCATATAAGATGAAGTAAAACATGTCTTAGAAAAAAGAACTTCCTGGAAGCTATAATATATCTCTGGTTAATCTTAAATATTACATATTATTGGTAATTAATGTTGTCTGTTAACTTTTAAGTTAAAAAACATATGAATAGGAACATAACACATCTTATTAAGAAGTAAAAACATAAAGAGACACAAGTCCAAGTGTCCAATTAGATTTATAAATGATTTTGACACAAAACAAATTTAATTCATTAAGATTTTAGAATTGATTCATCTCAGGTGATCAAAACAAATAAATTGCCTGCACTAATGTGAAGAGTAATCCTGAAATCAGGACTGCAGTGTGTTGGCCAGGTCTGATTCAAAGGCAGTGATTTTCGAAATTGGCTGGAAATGGCTAAGGTCAAGGTCACACTGCCAGAGGGCGGCCATCCGTGCTGCTGCCATCTTTTGGTAAAACATGAAATTGCATTTCTTAGATGTGTACTTTACATATTCTGATTGGCAATACTGGCGGGCCGCAAGTGATACATTTTATGACAGAGGATGGGGACCATATGAAATTTGACTGCGGGCTGTACTTGGTCCCCGGGCCGGACTTTGGACATGTCAGTCTTATTTCGTTCATGAAGATCATATATGGACGACCACGAAACGAGAATTGAAAGGAACATCAAAGTCGCTCCCAAATGAAGATGGAGATGATAATGACGTCAATAACATCCTGCAAGACTGGTAACTAATGGTTTCATCAGCAATGAAGAGGTTCGTTTACTTGCTACTGCTTAATCCCCGCTCGAGACGAAGATTAGGTCATCTCCTCCACTTGATAATTTCTGACCACAGCGGCATAACGATTACCTCTGTGTTTTCATACCTGTTGGCAACAATCGTTTTATGGCAGAGGGTTTCTACATTCATCAATAAACAGCACTGTCGTCTGTGTATTTCAAAGTCCATTTCAGATGAACCCGTTCTCACTACAGACGTGTTTGTCGCTGTCAGTTCGTTAAGGACGTCGAACGCAGTGGCCGCCTTAAATTCGAATGCAGTTGATTGCGTTATATCCGACAGTATTCTCTTTTCCTTCCTTCTTGATTGTTCACAGGCGTATTTGGAGACAAAGAACGATGAACTGATCATCATTACAGTTTGTAGCCCATGGAGCCCCTGTACTAACTCAACTCACAAAATGTTCACATCGGTGAATATCTAGAAATAAATCCAATGATATTTACTTGATTTATCAAGTAGAATTCTTTATTTATGATCGTCACTTTTTAGGAGAAAGTTGAAGTCAAGGGAGACAAATTTGAATTGCTTATTGAGCTGGATCCTTACAAAGCGTAGAATTCAGAATGGGTATGTTTCAGAATGATAGAATTCAACGTGAGATGGTTGAATATATATATATATATATATATATATATATATATATATATATATATATAAAATCTTATAAATATAAGTAATTATACTTGTCTGAAAAACCTTAGGTGTTTTGTCTTGTAAAGGAACAAACCAATACCCAAGGAAAAATAAGGAATAAATAAAGAACGAACTAAGAACATGTAATTCAGGCGAAAACAATCGTCTAGAATCCAAGCCCAGAGTTCAAAGAAAAAAAAAACTCCATCACGAGCCAGGCAAACCTACCTAAGTTTCACCTACGCGGATCGTCAGGGTACGCTGGCCCAGGTAGGTTTGCCTGGCTTTTACGTTCATAGTTATATATATATATATATATATATATATATATATATATATATATATATATATATATATATAATTTTAAATAGATTCCCCGTTTTTATTTAAAACTGTGTACTACACTTTTATCGGCTTGCGCCCTTGAGGCTATCAGATGTAGTACACAATAAAATTAAGACAGAAAAAAATAAAAATGAATATTTATTGAGAATGTTGAATGCAATAAAAATTCAAGGTAATATTAATTTTATTAATTTAAATTTGTTCTCTATAATTTGAGGGAAAAACGGTGGAGTTAAAAATTAATAATGATTAACAATGCTTCATCTAATAAAATTCATGATAATTTTACTGCTACTAATCCTTGTAGTGGAAATAAATCAATTGAAATTGAGATAAAATAATCATATTAAAAAAAACTATAGTGCTTGACAATATTTCCTCTAATAAAAGCTCAAGGTCATATAACTATTATTTTTTTTAATCAAATGACCAAAAGCAAGGCGATAATGCCACTAAGACGCAATGAGCTATTGGGAGTTAAAGACAAAAGGATTTATAAGGAACTGGAAACTCAATCCTAAACAGAGAACAAGGAAACTCTACTCTTGTTCAAAAGACCGGGCAGGAGTGTAAACTAGACAATAGGCAAACTTATCTATTCTTGTTGAGGGGAAACAAATAATTAGTAAATAAAATTTCAGAGTTCCAACATAGACGTCATAAGTACAGAGTTGAGTAGACTTGGAAAATACACTAAAATAAATAAGATTTTAAAAATATAAAAAATAA